ACACACACACACACACACACACACACACGCACGCACGCACGCACGCACGCACGCACGCACGCACGCACGCACGCACGCACGCACGCACGCACGCACGCACGCACGCACGCACGCACGCACGCACGCACGCACGCACGCACGCACGCACGCACGCACGCATGCACACACACACACACACACACACACACACACACACACACACACACACACACACACACACACACACACACACACACACATTTTGCGTCTGGGAGACATGCCTTGACCCAGCCCCTTCCCCCCCCCTCCCCTGGGCCTGGTCGCTCCCCCTTCCGTGCTGGGTCGCAGCCTCCAAGTTTGACTCCAAGACGGCCCCGGAGGCGCCAGGACGGCCTTCGAAATGGCACAGGCCACCGAAGACGAGGCGTCGGACCCCGGCGGGGCGAGGGCCCCCCGAGACCTCCACCGGAGAGTCGGAACTGGGCCCGCGTGCCCAGGACAGCGCGGGCGCCGCTGCTGCTGCCGGGCTGCGCGTGTGCGCCGCCAGAATATGTCCACATCCACTGCCGCGGGGTCGTAGCCCAAGGGATCGAGGAGCGATGGAGATGGACATCTGGCAGCCCAGACGGGCGGGCAGATATCCATATCCACCACTCCTCGAGGTCCCAGGGCACGACTCCGAAGAGGTGGATATGGCTACATTCTGGCGGTGGAGTGTGGCGGCGTGAGCTCGGCTGCTCTCGGGCTGCTGCCCGATCGCCCCGGCTTCGCAAATGCTCGGAACCTGCTCCGTGAGTCCGGCCTCTGGGCGCCCGCCTCTCGGGCCTCGGGGCCGTCGCGAGTCGGCGCGGGATGCAGAACTGGGGTCCGAGGCCTCCTCCTCCTCCTGCTCCTCCTCCTCCTCCCTCCTCCTCCCTCCTCCTCCTCCTCCCTCCTCCTCCTCCTCCTCCTCCCTCCTCCCTCCCTCCTCCCCAGGGGGGCAGACTTCGAGCTGAGTTTCTGAGGATCGGGGCTCGAGGACCGTCCTCTGGGTCGCCGCTGCGTTGCGCTGCGCCCGATCGAACAGGTCGGCCCCATGCAGAGCTCGGGCGAGAAAGAAACGCGCCGTCAGAGCTGCACGTCGTCAAACCAACGACGCCGCGGCCGGCCCCTTGCACGGTGCACCCCGCGACGCGCGGCTATCTGTGACCCCTGGCGAGGCCACCTCGGAGAAGGGCGGCTCTCCGGCCCGGGCATCGGCGCGCGAGGCGCGATGGTCTTCGCGGTCTGGGGGGGACAGGAGAGCCCAGAATCGAATCGATAAGTCGGATCGGCGATCGAAATGAATCGCATCGGCGGAAATCGGCAGCCCAGTCGGGAGAAGTCGCATCGGCGGAAATCGGCAGGCTTGTATGCGTCCAGTGAGAAATCGGAGCCCAACTCGGAATCCGAAGTCGAATCGAATCGAAATCGGAAGCCATCGAAGTCGAATCGAACCGAATCGGAGGAATCGAAACCAGTCCTGGGGGGAGACCCTGCTGATCCGACCGTCCTGCATCGCCGCTGCTGCGGCTATTAGCCCAACTTCCTGTCCAACTCAGGCTCTGCGCGCCCCAGGCTGTTGGCTTCGCACATCGACACGGCCACCAGGAGCGGAGGTCACCCCCATCGAGGGGGGCTGACCCGCGATCTTGCTGCTGAAACCGTACAGGGCAGTTTTTTAATACATAGGATGTTTCAAAATATATGATGTTTCATACATGAGTAGTTCATGAATAAATATATGCATGAACTCATCGTTGTTTTCAATGCTAAATCCCTGCATTTTTGACACATGATCCGCACGCGGAGCATGTATTAAAAACGGCACTGTACCACCACCACCACCATCACCACCACCATCACCACCACCACCACCACCACCACTACCGAGGTCGGGGGCCATCCTTCCTCGTTGGAGGTGGCCTCGGAGAGAGAGCAGCCGACCTCCGCAGTGCAGGCCCTGCCGTGCCCCCATCGGAGCTCCCGAGCAGGGCCGCCGGGTCTGAGCAGGCGCGGCGCGCCTGCGGCCTTCGCGGTGGCCGTCATGGTCGCGAAGGCCTGCGAGGTGCCTCGCGCATCCCTCACCGCCCAGGCAGGGCTCCCCCAGAGGAGAGCCGCGCAACTGCTGCATGCTTTCCGCGCGCTGGTGCGCTGCACCTGGCGAAGCAAGCCGCCTTCTGCGTCTATAGCCAAATGGCACAGACGCGGGGGGGAAGGGCCGTTCCCGAATTCACAAAAAAAGCGAGCATACGAATGTATCTGAATCGCTAGCTCCAAGTCGAATCTCAAACACCGCCTCGACTCAACGAGCACGGCAACAGAGAGCCAAGAGAGTGACCTTGGCCGACACGCAACGCTTTGGGGAATCGTTGAGAAGAGACAGGTGAGAGAAGTGAGGCAAAGGGAAGGAAAAGAAAGAGGAGAGCAAGACGAATGCGTTGTAAACAACGACGCCAAAACGGGGTGGGCTCGTTCCGGATCCGACATCGGTGCCCGATCCCCCAAGACAGGAGCTCTGTCGGCATCCCATGGCGAAGTGCTCAGGAAGCCGGCCACTGCCGCATGACCCACCCCCCGAAAAGAAAACCTAATGCGACTCCTTCCTGGTGCCGAAGCCCCTCAGAGTTTGGTGGAGATGATGGAGGAGACTTAACACAGCAGAGAGTTTTGATTGCGATGCGGCAGACAAAATATATGGCAACGCTCGCAAGCGGGATTCATGGAAAACCGATCGTCCAACAAATCATGGATGTGTCAAGCACACATTGGCACCGCGATCATGACAGCGCATGTCGCTTGCAGCGGTAGACATGTGCTTACGCAATCGGCTTATGATGAACTTGCGGCGTCAATACAATACCAAAGAGGCAGTGAAGCAACAAAAACGCGATCGAAAATCACCGATGGATGTGTAATGGTGTTGGCACGCTCCAAGGTCACAGAATAGTCGAGCTTGTGCATTGCAGTAAAATGAATGAAGAACAACAAATACAGCATGCATAACGAATGAGCCGCGCATGGTATTCAAATACAGCCACTGCCGACTCGGCATGGACTCAGTGAGCCCTGGGCCTCCCAAGGGTACCCGACGAGGCCAGAATCGCATGATAATGCGATGCTTGTTGACGATTGTCGTCTTATCGCCATTTCGCCTCAGATGGACCTCTGAGTCCTCAAGATGGCCCTTGAATGGCTCAAAAGCTCCCAAGGGAACATGAGGAGAGTTCCACTATTCTCCTAACAGCGCTTGCACTTAGGAGTTCCTAATTCTCTTCTAAGGATCTAGACCTGAATGTCGGTCTGGCGGCTCCATGCTCCCCGACGCCGCCCCGTCGCCGCCTCGTCGCCGCCCGTCGTCTGGGCCTGAATGTCGGTCTGGCGGCTCCGTGCTCGCCGTCGCCGCCTCGTCGCCGCTTCATCGCCGCCCGTCGTCTGGGCCTGATTGTTCGTCTGGCGATTCCATGCTCGCCGTCGCCGCGTCGTCGCCGCCCCGTCGCCGCCTAGATTCTCCTTTTTATAAAGGAGCTCAAAACTACAACCCTCCTCTCCAGGACTTATCCGGCCCCCGTGGGGATGTGCCATTTACTTGCGATTCTGCGCTATCGCTCGATTTCCATACGAAGTCATATGACCCCAGCCACACCGTGTTCGACCCCCCCTTCGCCCCCGTCAAATAACACTATGCGCGCGCACCCGTCCATCGAAAACCAACCGTGTACAAAAATCCGTCGCAAGAGAATAACACAAAGTCCACATGCGCGAGTCGTCGTCCGCGCATGCAGAAACCAGTCAAACACCATAGATACGTGATGAAACCAAAATGGAGTCACTATATATATATATATACATATATATCACATACAAACATACACACATACCTACCTACCTACCTACCTACCTACCTACCTACCTACCTACCTACAGTCATACTTACATGCAAACATACATACATACATACATACATACATACATACATACATGCATGCATGCATGCATGCATACATACATACATACATACATACATACATACATACATCCACCCATGCATGCATGCATGCATGCATGCATACATCCATCCATCCATCCATCCATCCATCCATCCATCCATCCATACGTACATACATACATACATACGTACATACATACATACATGCATACCTACATACATACGTACATACGTAAGAAAACATCAGTGTTGCCGCATGTTTGTTCAATGCGCAAGCGCATTCGCGAATTATTAGAAAAGCCGTTGTTTGCTCGACATGCTCATGAAATGAGGCCAAAAGGGCTCTCGCGCACGCGTTTCGAAATCATCTGAACTCCCTTGCGAGCGTGTATGGGGTGGGGAGCACGATCCCAATCAGATAACTCCATGCGGGCCACTCGCGCCCATCGGCCGCGAGTGCATGCCGAAATCCTTCCACAACCTTCACAACGGAAACGTGGATACCATCATCGTCATCGTCGTGATCAGCATCGGCGCCATCAGTGGCTCTGCCGTTGTCACCGTCGTCGTCGTCACTAGCATCGATACTACCATCCTCGCCTCTGCTGTTGTCGACGTCCCCATGATACCCAACCAGCCCGAGTCACCGATTCGCACACACTACAAGCAATCGCGCAAAAGCCTGAAAGGATCCTGCCAGCGCCACCGTTCATTCCCAAGTCCGCCGTCTCAGCCACAATCCAATGGGCCATCCACTCGAGCACTTGGCGCATCTTCCGCCTCTCTCCGATGGAACCAAAGATCTAGTTGGTAACTGTTGACATCTGCCGCGCCAGCTCGCGACGTTTCCTTGTCCATGAGAGACTCGCCACGCACTCGTCGGCCCCCGCGCGCGTGCGGAAAAATTCGCCGCGCGCCCAGCGCCGAGACCCGAAGCACCGCGCCCAGGAGCCAACAGCGAAAACGAGCATGGCGCATGAAACGGCCATCGCGCCACAGGATGGCCAAGCGACCCCACTCCTCAAAGCGAAGCGCGCGGCGCCAACCGCGCCTATCGCAACGGAAATCGTCGACGCCATGCTTGAACAATTTCGGGAAGGCGTTGACGACGTACCGAGGTGCGTCCTTTCGGATAGCCTGTCCAGGCTGATCGCCCACTGCAGGCGGATTCACGCGCGGAACCTTGATTCGCCGTTCCGGCGTCGGCTGCGCGTCGTTGACCAGAGGCGCTGCGACGGGTGCCACGCTGGCAGAGCCTGGCGCGCCCTCGTCGGCAGGAGCTGGCTCGTCAGACGGCCCTCCGCCGACGTCGCGCGCTGCAGCTGCGAGCGCACATACGACGCCCTCGCGTAGACCCAAGCCGCCCCCCACATCGCCAGACACAATGGCGCCTGCATGAACCGACTTCGAGTATTCGCTGCACTCCTCAAGCAGCAAGCATTGCATCCAGCTCAGCACGGAATGCACGCAAGTCCTCCGGGTAATCGTTGGACTCGAGTGCGCGGAGCACGGAAACCACATGCATTGGCTCTCCCGTCTGTCGCAATCCGAGGCTCAGGACACCGCTCGGAGCCAAGGCAACTGCAAGGACACCCAGCGGAAGCGCCGCGGCCACCCGACAAGCGCCCTCGCCGAAAAGGTCAGCAACAACGCACCGGATGCACGCCCACACCGCGGAACGCGCCGAGCTGATGGAGACTGGCTCATCCACAGAGTCCCCGTCAAGGACTCGCTCCCCAATGGCATGCCCGAAGTCTCCCGCCGCGGTTCCCACTCCGGCGCGTTCCATCCACCGAGCGATGCAAGTCGGCGTCACAGGGGGCGCGCGGGAGACATCATATTCGGCTTCTCCTGTGGCTCACACCTCAACGTCGCAATCGGACCACGCAGCAGCAGCGTCCTCTCGCCAATCAACATCAGCATAATATGGCATGTTCCCTCTCTCGGCTTTGCGACGACAATTTAAGCGCACGGCCTGGCTGCTTCCCCACGCACGTGCGTGGGCGGACGTGCACCGCCGGCACGTCGTCCGCCGGCACGTCGTCCAGCATGCTTCCACGGAACTGGTCAACCTTCTGCCGGAAGTTGCGAGCGTGGCCAACGCATGCCTGCTGACCTGCGCGAGGCACTGTGTAAACCTAAAGAAGCGGATGCAACAGAGCGAGAACAATTTCCTCATGGCCGGCAGCGCTGCCAATGGTTCCGCAAGCACGCCTACTGCTAACCAACCCAAGCACTCTGGAACAGACCTCCTGGCCATGCGAGTCTAGCGACAGGGCGCCTTCGAAACGCTCCTTCGCGATCGCAACTCCACTGGCGCTGGAACGCACCACGCCGGATCCACCACATAATCGCACATGCGCATCTCTCCTGCGGGCGCTGGGAGTTCGCGGTCCTCGCCAACATGCTTACAACAGCCTGAGCAAATCGTCAAGACCCTGCGCACATCTGGCCACTGCAGCCAGCGCGCTAGAAGTCGCACTCGCCAACGGTGTAGTTAGGTGCCAGATATTGCTGCGCGCCCCCATTGAGCAGGAGACGAACTCAAAGCCCTGCGCGCGTTCGAGAATGCATATCCAACTGGCAAATCATATCAGGCGCGCGAGCATACCACTCACGCGGCCAACTGCACCTCCTCCAGACACCCGCACAGCCCGGGCACGAGCGCGCGCTGCGTCTCTTGGCCCAATGCGGCGCGAGACGGCGGCGGGCGACTTGGGCCGCCACGCTGGCAGAGCCTGGTCGACTGAACGGCCGCCCGCTTCCAGCTGCCCTCCTGGTCCAAGACGCAGGCGCGATCCGACTGAGCGCTTTTGGGAATCATGTTTTTTACTTCCCGCGTGCAGAGTCGGTGCTTCAGTCGCCGTTCAACCTCTGCTGTCCTGGGAACAGCATCTCGGCTCCTTTGTGCGGCTTTCCTTTCCTCTCGATTCGCCTTCCCATCAGGCGGCGCATTCCGTTTCCCATCTCTCTGGGCCCTGACTCTTTTGTCTTTTCCCAGAAAGGGCGTGGGCCCAGGGTTCTCTTTCAGAGGCTTACCCCCGGAATCGACTTGAACGATAAATGACGAGTTTGAAGGAGGCCGGCGGAATTATTTTCGATGATGTCTCGAGCGAAACGCTT